TAAAAAAAAAAAAAAAAAAAAAAAAAAAAAAAAAAAGTTTAAAGAGTAACTTACTAAGTAATGAATAATATTTCGATAGGCCAGTTAAATCTTCATAACGATAAAATAGCTACATCAGAATTAGACCGTTTAATTTTAGAACAAAAGTTAGACATTGTCCTTTTACAAGAACAATATCAGAGCGCTCACTTGCGTCGTAATGTAGTACAGCTTGACTGCCGTTCGCAGGCTGGGATATATGTTGCAAGTTCTAATTTTACGGTAACATCTTTGCGTAATCTTATGACGTCACACTGCGCCGTTGCTGAGATCTCATCCTCTACCTGTAAGGTTTACGTAGTGAGCTGCTATTTTCAATATTCACATCCTATTGATCCTCACTTACATCACTTACGTTACGTCTTGCAGTTCCTCGTGGGACATAAAATTATCATTGGCGCTGATGTCAATGCGTCATCTTCATTATGGTATGGCAAGTTGCGTTCAACCGACACGGTTCGACGTTGTGCGGTTGAAGATTTCATTGCGGAAATGAATCTTATTATTCACAATACCCCCGATGCACCACCAACTTTTTGCAACCCAATGGGTGAGTCTTCTATTGACGTGACGCTTACGCGCGGCGACGTCTCGATATCCGGATGGCGTGTCCTTCCGGACGCATCCTGTAGTGATCACCGCTTGATCGTGTACGAATTCACACCAAGGGTTGCACAGGATCCACAAAGGGTTCCCTATAATTTTAGATATAAAACTAAAGGTGCGAACTGGGCTTTGTTTGGTTCACTCTTTGCAACTCATACCAAAGACTTCAGTCGCAGTAGTTTATCAGCTGAGGAAAGCGCAGAAATACTATCAGAAACTTTTACATACTGCGCTGATGTAACTATTGGTCGCGGATCTATCACTAACACTCGTAGATGTGATTGGTGGAATGATAGATTAGCCGAACTACGTAGAAGCTACCGGAAAGCTCGTAGAAAATTAAACACTATTAAAAAACATAACGTAACAGGAGATTTGTACAACATTGCTCTCATTGCTCTTAGAGTTGCCAGGTCCCACTACAGAGCTGCTGTGGAAAAATCCAAGGGAAACTTAATCCAGAAACTTGTTAATAAACTCGATAGAGAGGGCCCGTGGTCACCTTTGTATCACGAATTTAAGGCAAATAGATCAATCGACCACGCATACATACAGAACATCAAAATTAATAACAGATATACCACAGGAGTAGAACAAACAGCAGAATATCTTTTAGACTCACTCGTACCTGACGATCGACCGGAAAACGACACAGATCATCACCGACAGATCAGGCAGTGGGCCATCGAACCACCACTGTCTCCAATGTCTGATTTACCATCTTCAGACGAATTTCTCGGTATCATTAGATCCTTGCCGCTAAACAAGGCTTCGGGTGATGATAAAATATCTAACAAAATGATAAAAGAAGCTTGTAAACTTTCGGGTGACACGATTTTCACTGTCTTTAAACGTTGCATTGCTGAAGGAATATTTCCTCGTATATGGCGGTGCGGTAATATTCGTATAATACCAAAAAGTGGCGACAAGCCACCGGATGATCCTAAATCCTACCGACCAATCACATTGTTACCATCGTTAGGAAAGCTTTTAGAACGTCTTGTAGTGCCCCGGCTTCTGCCAGGTGGAGTCAAATTTCATGATAGACAATTTGGATTTACGTTGGGTAAATCGACAACTGACGCTGTTATATCGGTTAGAAAGTTTGTCACAGAGTCAAAATTTCAATACGTGCTGGCTATTTTCTTAGATATATCTGGCGCCTTCGACAACGCATGGTGGCCCATGCTGTTGCTGAAATTAAAATCACGGGGGTGTTTTAAAAATATTTATTCCCTTATCTCTTCGTACTTTTCACAAGGTACAACTAAACTAAGACTTGGTCATCATTCTGTGTCGAAGGCGCTTACAATGGGATGTCCTCAGGGATCGGTGCTAGGTCCATACTTGTGGAATATCGGCTTCGACGATTTTCTTACGATACCAATACCATCCGGATGTACTCTGAACGCGTATGCTGATGACGGCTTATTACTGGTGGAATCTGATACTAGGGCGGGGCTTGAGAGATTAGCCAATAGATGTTTGAACTTGATATCTCAATGGGGTGAACGTAATCGCTTAACTTTTGCACCCAACAAAACCTTCCAGTTACTTTTAAAAGGTAACCTCAAATCACCGCCGAGCATTAGATTTGACAATGTTACTGTAAAAAATAAAACCACAGTGTGTTATCTAGGATTAGTTTTAGAAAGAAACTTTTCATTTATCGAACATATTAAAATAGTTAATGAAAAGTCTAAAAAGAGTTTCTGTGCATTGACAAGGGTATCAACTGCGACATGGGGTCTATCATTTAATACATTAAAGATCATATACGGAGCTACTTATTTAGGTTCTATGTGCTATGGTGCACCTGTGTGGGCCGATAGGGCGACCGTAGGCGCTGTCCGTCGCAAACTGTTACAAGGCCAACGACTTGCACTGATATTTTTGTGCAAGGCATATAGGACGGTTAGCACTGAGGCTTTGCCGGTGTTGGCAGGTGTCCTTCCGGTCGATCTCGAGGTGCAGAGACGTGCAGCCATGTACTATTCAAGACAAAACATGGAATGCGATTTCTTGGGCGCGCGGGATCGCGGTAAAATTACAAGATTGCTTCAACAGCAGTCCGATGTCTATAATGACCTCATAGACGAATGGCAGCAACGCTGGGACGAATCATCCAAGGGGCGCCATCTTTACCAATTTTTTCCATCTGTTCGCGAACGGTTGTCGAGGACATGGCTTGAGGTGGATCACTGTGTCGCTCAATTTCTTACGGGTCATGGTAACTTTAAGAGCAAGTTGTATTCATTTAAATTAGTCGAGTCACCATTGTGTCAATGCTCAACACCTAACTCTCATTATGAACAGTCTGCTCATCATATCCTCTGGGAATGTAGTCTTTGGTATAATGAACGTAATATAATGCTGAATAGCTTGCAGGTGACATCTGGGGCGGTATACTATGGGGATCTTGTGTCAACTAGGGTGAATTTCCGTGCGTTTAGGCGATTCTGCCATACATATTATAGAAATCAAATATAGCTCATGTAGGACCCGTAATATTTTGTGGCCGTGGTGCTTCCCTGTTTAAAAGGGTGTATGCCTATTTCACTTCATTTTGTCTCCCGCTTTGCTAAGGAGGGAAGTGGATTTACTGTATTTCCAACTCCTCCAATTTTCTTCTGATTAATTTCGTTGCGGGTTCCAAGACAGTTTAATTTCTTCCTGGGACTTCCCGAGTGTCATAACTCGGTGTGTTCGTGGGTCACTGCTGTGGATCCTGGTGTACAGGAGTTACAGTGGTGGGCGTGTGGGTGGGATTAGTCCCAATAAAAAAAAACCATTCGTGACACATTGAAACCCCTACATGCCTCGGAGAAGTCGGAGAGTAGGTACAGTACGTTTACTGTACTCTCCGACTTCTCCGTCTCCGTCTCGTCTCTTCCGGTTGCCATACGAACTTCTGTCGCAATCGTTACGAGTAGTTCTAAAAAGTCCAACAACTGTTTATTTACAGAACTTCGATATCGCCTAGTACTTGGGTTGTGGAAGTCTGAATGCAGTCGTTTCATTTAAAAAAATCGAAGTTCAACCGTGTTGTAGTAGACTTCCTGTCTACGACAACACAGATGGCGTCGACTTTTAAGGAGGATGATACTGGCGGAAAGTCCAAGTCCAAATTTACAAGTCACATAATAAATAACACTCTTATGAATTTATTGATGTATGATTTTGTCAACTAATCTCACTATATCTATGTACATAAAGCAAATTTTATTAAACGTACTGTTACGAAAACCCTTGTGTGCAACACACAGAGCTCCTAATAAATCTATAAAAATAAATATAATGTCTGTTAATAGTATCATAAAGATTGCTTTTTACAAGTAAATGAAACATTCCGATTATAATTTTTTGTGTATTTAGTTGTTCGTTATCGACGATTCTTCAAGACAAGTGGGACTTGGGATGAACATTGGTAAGACCAAGATTATGTTTAATAGATATTTATCCCCGAGTCCCGTCAATGGCGCTACTCGATCGGCATTACAAGAATACGAGTACGTATATCTTGGCCAAACTATCCAACTCGGCCGGCACAACTTCGATCGGCCGATAGAAAAATTCTTCTGGGCTGGGAGACATTTGGGCAGCTTCGTCATGTCTTCCCAATCACTAAGAACCAAGGCGTTTGATCAGTGCGTCCTACCCGTAATGACGTACGGAGCCGAGACGTGGACACTCGCCGTTCGACTGGTCCACAAATTTAAAGTCACTCAGCGTGCGATGCTGGGTGTTTCTCTAGACGATAAAATTCGAAACGAAACTATTCGACAGAAAATTAGAGTAACCGACATCGCACAGAGAATCAGTGCGCTTAAGTGGAAGATGACCGATCATGTCTCCAGGTGGAATAATGGTCGCTGGAGCCGACTTGTGCTAGAGTGGAGACCGCGATTGGTCAAACGTAGTGTAGGGCGCCTTATGGCACGATGGACCAACGACTTGAGGAAAATGGCTGGCAGCGGATGGATGCGGTCTGCCCAAAACCGGGATGGTTGGCGCAGTTTGGGGAGGCCTTCGTTCAGCAGTGGTCGGCAACAGGCTGAAGTTACGTAATAGAAGGCTGGCCTGTCTGTCAACCGGGCACTTTAGGTATTAGATGGGAAAATTGGCAGTATATGACAGAAAAGGTCGAAAAAGAAGTGATGGTGGGAAAGTTATAGGGCTTATAAGGATGTGTTGGGGAGATCAAGCAGGTCAAGATCGAATACCCATATGGGTCATAGGTTTTACTTTCCTTGGTATATAGCTACTAATGTTATAAGGAGTAACATAGGCTACTCTAATTTTGGGAAAAAATAATTTAGGATTCAGCGCAGAAAACATGTCAATTTTTAACTTACCATTTTCACTGCCAAACACGAACACCTTCCTGTTAAAATACTCTTCATAAGACTCGTGGTCTATATGCTCAGTTATTTCCCGATCATTGACACGACGAGTCTCGGTTGTAGTCCAATGCACTTTGCAGAACCCTTTAAAACTTATATATATACCTGAAACAAACATTTGTGTTTAGTACTAACGAAGAAACAAGGCAGTCATCGATATGTTAGCTATCTAGATTTTTTAAATTGGAGAATTGCCAGAAATGAAATCTGTGGTTTCATTGTTGCATTTGTGATCCCAGCACCTCAACTGATACTTAAACGGTATTGGCAATTGTGACCAGAGTCAATAGTTTCTTTAATATTTATTATTATCATCTTTTCCTTTTCTCAAATTTATTTAACTGCCTCGGTGGTGAAGTGGTAGCGTACGCTGCTGTGCTGAGGTCTCGGGTTCGATGCCCGGTTTGGAACAAATGTTTGTATGATCTGCAAATATTTGCTGTAAATAGCTGACCGGTGCCACTTTGTGTGCATCTCTGAAAAGGAATAAATTTTCCCCGTTTCGCAACTTTTTCATTGATTGTCGGATCCTACTGGTCGTACCGTGATGTTATATAGCCTTTAGCCTTCCTTGATAAATGGGCTATCCATCACTAAAATAATTTTTCAATTCGAACCAGTAGTTCCTGCAATTAGCGCGTTTAACCAAACAAACACTCTTCAGCTTTATAATATTAGAATAGCTATTTAGTGATTACGGTCACTTGACAATGTTCGGTTTCGACTGGAAAACTTGTTTCGGTCAGACACTAGTTTGTGTAGACCAATTTTGATAAAATTTGGTGTGGAGATAGCTGCCACCTATATTAACATATAGGTAGGCTTAGAAAAAAAATTGTGTTCCTGTAGGAAGAGGAAGGATTATTAGCATCTGATAATTTAAGCATGTTTCGAAACCAACTGAAAACATTGCTAGTAAAGGCATACTATTATGTAAAGGAATACTTATCAGATACTAATGTTAAGTAATTATATTAGTGACATTTTGGTTGCAACTTCATGAGTTCGATAAACCCAATTTCATGCAATTGTTGTGATAAAATAAATAAATTTGTATGCTCTTATAGGCATTTATTTTTGGCATGTTTACTATATTTTGCATGCCCCCTTTTGTTAAACATAATAACTATGAATTGTCCTAACACCTTATTGCTCTGTACTGTTTTTGTTTCGAAATAAATAAATCTGAATCTGGATCTTAATTGAACCGCAGGTAACACCGCAAGGCGCAGTATGTATTAAGAAAATCGACACACACATTTAGTTATTTTTATCTTTATAATATTAATATCAATAAAATAACCCCATGCATGTATTTACCAATGCTGTTTTGCCAATATTATTGTTTTTAATTTTTAATCATTTTTTATCTTTTTTTTTTGTTGCCAACTCGTTTGGGACGGCAATTGTTTTCTTCCGAATCCCAACTCGAAGGAAATAGATTGCTGTCTCAAATAAAAGTAAGTAACACTGTATACTTTAAATTGAAAACAACGATGTAATGTCTACCGAAAGAAATGTGTAATTGCAACTGGCACCCGGGGTTTTTTTTCCCCGGAATGTATCACAATTTTTTTTTTCTTTT